TGAATACGAAGATGTTCCTGATCACTCAACAAACGAAGGTGTAGACGACGAATTTTTAGAAAATGATGATGTTTCAACAGATTACGACAATGTATCCGAATGAATTATGTATGTTTATAAGTTTGTTTAATCACAAAAATCAATTTGGATTATATATGTTTTAAGTTTGTTTAATCACAAAATTAATTTGTATTTGGGGTTTGGGGTTTATGTGTAGAAGAGGTTAGGAGTTTGGTTGTAGAAGAGGTTATAAGTTAAGGAAGTTGTGGTTTGGGGTTTAGGATTTCGAGTTTAGGGATTTATAAACCCTTTCCTCGTAAAGCCCTAGTAATAGAAAACGCGGGCATAGCCGTTTCCTCGTAATGTTCTAGTAATACTATTACTAGGACTTTACGAGGAAAAAAACGCGGGCATAGCTATTTTCTCGTAAAGAATTTTCCTCGTAATGGTCTAGTAATAGCATTACTAGGACCTTACGAGGAAATAAAAACAGGGGCATAGATATTTCCTCGTAAAGTCCTAGTAATGTTACTAGGGCTTTACGAGGAAACAAAATTCCTTATATATACTCGAGCAATCCGATTTCTCATTTTGTAGTAAGCTTCTCTCTGAATCCTCTAAAGGTTCTCTCTAATTCGTAGTTACGTGATTAGATTAGGAATTTAGATTAGGTGGTTAGTTTAGGGAATTTAGATAAGGTGGTTAGTTTAGGTAATTTAGATTAGGTTGGTTTACTTTTTTAGCTGTTTTTTTAAATTATACGGGAATTAATGTTTTGATTTTTTTTAAAAAATATAGATGCCTAGACAGAGCAAGATCGCTAGGGCTGCTAGTAAGAGGACGTCGTCTCTTCAGGGGACTCACTACGGAGATATTTTTGGGCGTCAGGATGCTCCCGGTTCATCTTCGTCAGCTCCAGGTTCATCTTCGATTCCGGATCGTGACGCTGTTCCCGAGACTCAGGGAGCTTCTACGGCGTCCCGGCAACCACCTCCTCCTCCTCCACCTCTTCCTCCTCCTCCTCCACCGGTCGGGGTTCATCCCAATTTGCAGGTGCCGCCGAACAGACCCTTTGCGGTGTACACGGTGGAGGATATTTTGGCCCTTCCAGGCAGAGAAGGGCTGCCAGAGTTAGATCCTCTCCGACGGGACGGCCAAAACGTATTATAGTATGTTTTAATTTTTAAAAAGTTTTTAAAATTTATTTCTTAATTAACAAAATATTTACAAATTAATCTAATTAATGATTTATTTTGTGTCTTTCCATGTTTGGTCTTGACAATTGTGTCGCAACTAGCATCACTGACTGTATCAAGGGATACTTTCCCGATGCAGCTCCAAACTGGAAAAAGATGGCGAGCCACACAAAAAAAGACGTGGTTCAAATCGTTCGCTGTAAGTTTAATCAATGAACAACTTAATTTATTTTTAATTATTTAAAATTATTAATATTATTGAACTAATCTGTCTCTTATTTTTTCTGGTTACAGAAAATGTATCATTGGTGTATTGGGATTCACCAGCGGGTGAAGACGGAGTTTGAGGACAAGGCAAGAGCACGATTGCTTGACATGGTCTACAACTGGAAGTGCGACTTTCAGGTATAGATTTATAAATTATAATATATATATATATATATATATATATATATATATATATATATATATAGTTTTAAAAATATTATTGACTTTAATTCTAATTATTTTAAATCAGGTGGATGGTTACGAGGACGGGAAACCCGATTGCCTCACAACCACGGTGTGGGATGGCCTCATCAGCTATTGGGGGTTGCCGGACTCGGTGAGAACCTCCAACACAAACTCAGGGAACCGCATGACCAGAGACGAGCATGGCAACACGAAGATGCTTCACACCACGGATCGAAAACCTCATGGGGGAGTTCGTCTAGACATGGTAAGATGATTTTTAATAACTATTTAATTTTTATTTTATTTGAATATTCCAAATTAATATTTAATTTTAAAAATTAATTTTAGGCTAAAGAGACAGGAGTTTTTCCATCTCTGAAAGACCTTTACGAGAGGACTCACCGGAACAAGGCTGGGCAGTTTGTAGATCCTGCTTCCGAGCGGATCTATAATGAGGTTGTTGCTCGAGTTGACGAACGTCAGACCCAGCTGACTCAGCAGGCTGGGACTCCAGTCGTATTATCCACTCTTGAAGTGGATAACGAGGAGGTAAATAATTTGTTTTACTATTAATTTTTATTATTTATTTAATTTTTTTCTTAATGTTATTAATATTTTTATTTACAGGTCGCCCCTAGGAAAAAGGGGTGTATCGTCGGGATTGGCTCGGTTAACGATGTCCCTGCAGCGACATCGTCTTATGCTCAGGAGCAGCACGATGTCAATGCTCAGCTGCACTCGGAGTTGCAGGCGACCCAGTCTCATGTGAGTTCGCTCACCGAGCATGTGACTTCTCTCACCGATGTCCTTGACATTTTGGCGGTTGGAAACCCGCAATTGGAGGAGATGTTGCGTCAGAGACGGAAACGAAGAGGGATTCCAACCCAACAACATCCATCATCACAGTCACAGCCGGCAACCAACTTTGGAGAGGAGCAGGATTTCCCGAGCCAGGACGAGTTCGTTCGGCAATTTCACGACCAGCATCCGTAGTTTTTTTTTTTAATTGTATATTATGAATTTTAAAACTTAATTGTATATTATTTAGTTATTTATAAAATATTTTGTTTTTTGTTTTTTATTTATAATTTGATTTTTTTATTTTTAAAAAATAAATTATTTATATTTATAATTAATTTTTTTTAATAGGGGAAAAAATATTTCGAAGCAAAATCCTCGTAAAGTTTCCAAGTAAAGTCCTCGTAAGTAATTCTAGTAAGTTCCTCGTAATGAATTACTACGAGCTTACGAGGAAAATCTAACTACGAGCTTACGAGGAAACCCTACGAGGACCTTACGAGGAAAATCTAACCACGCCTTTACGAGGAAAAGTTTCCTCGTATTTTAGCTAGGACCTTACGAGGAAAAAGGCTTTACGATGAACGTGTTTTGACGAAATGTGTTTCCTCGTAAGTTTCTAGTAAATTGTCATTTACTAGGAAATAACGAGGAAAAACCGTCCTAGTAATGGACGAATTTTCTTGTAGTGCCTTACCAAACCAAGATCGAAGCCAAGTCACATTCCCATTTTTCCTCTTCTTACCAAACCAAGATCAAACCCAAATCACATTCCCTCTTCTTACAAAACCATAAGGTTTTATTCAAAAAAAAAAGTCTCTTATTGAACACAAATATGACATCCTCTTTGCAAAACTTTGATCATACTTTTGAAGAATCATTTGATGATGTATTTGATCAATATTTTTATCAAACCTTTGAGAGTTTTACCATAAGTCATCAAGAAAAAGCAAGGAAACAAAGAAAAAAATGATCTTATATCGAAAGAAATTGTGAAGAATGACATATTCGTTTATGGAATGATTATTTTTGTGAAACTCCAACGGATCCCGCATATTTGTTCGAACGACGATTTAGAATGAACATGCCGTTGTTCATGATATTGTTGATCGACTCTCCAATGAAGTTCAATTCTTTCAACAAAATACGGATGCTCTCGGAAGTTTAAGTATCTCTCCACTTCAGAAGTGTAGAACGGCCATTTGTGTCTTGCATATGGGACTGCGGCAGATGCTGTTGACGAATACCTCCAACTCGGTGAAACTACTACACGGTCATGTGTGGAACATTTTGTGGAGAGTATAATATATTTATTCGGTGATGAGTACCTAAAAAGACCAACACCGGCTGATCTTCAATGTCTACTTGATATTGGTGAGCATCGTGAATTTCCTGGAATGATAGGAAGGATCGATTGTATACATTAGGAGTGGAAGAATTGTCTCACCGCTTGAAAAGGTCAATATTCATGTAGTTCGAGAAAACCCACGATCGTTTTAGAGGCGGTTGCATCGTATGATCTATGGATATGGCAGACATTTTTTGGATCTATAGGTACCTTAAATGATATAAATGTTCTTGATCGCTCACCTGTTTTTGATGACATAATAAAAGGTCAAGCTCCGCAAGTCACCTTCTCTGCCAATGGAAGAGAGTATCATATGGCTTACTATCTCATCGACGGTGTTTATCCGAAATGGAAAACTTTAATCCAATCAATTTCAATACCACAAGGGTCGAAATCGGTTTTATTTGCTCAACATCAAGAAGCTATCCTTAAAGATGTCGAACGTGCTTTTGGAGTCTTGCAAGCTCGCTTTGCCATTGTTACAAATCCACCATTTTTTTGGGATAAAACCAAAATTGGGAAGATTGTGAGAACATGTATCATACTTCATAACATGATAGTAGAAGACGAATGAGATGGATACACTAAGTATGATGTATCAGAGTTCCAACAAGGAGAATACACCAGAACTTCACATGTCGATCTCACGTTTTCTACTGATATCCTTACAAGTATCGCCAATATGATGGGTGTTCGAACTAGAATCCGTGATACACAAATGCATCAATAACTGAAAATCAGATTTGATAGAACATGTATGGCGTAAATTCGGACATGGTCAGGATAACAACTGAACTCGGATGTTTCTTTCAAAATATTTTCGTTTTTTAATAATCATTGTTTTAATGTATTTTTAAAATTAATGTTTATAATTTTTTTTAATATATTTTATTTAGTAAATTCTATCTTTTAGAAAAATTAGTTTAATAATATTTTTTTAAGAATCACAAATTAAGAATCTACTATTAAAACTAAAAATATCAATTACTAAAATATCATTAAGAGACCAAATTAGGTTCTTAGTATTAATGCTGATCTAGTAGATTAAGAGCCGTGTGTCAGTGTATCAACAACCAAACAGTCGGTCTCTGTCTCTGAATAAGTCTTACTTCAGACAAGTCAAATAACTTTTTCAGTAAACAGAATACTAAATATTCTTTGACGATTCACAATCATTTATCAATTATCAATATCAACAAGACACACAAACTCTCTTTCTCCATCTAAAACAAGAGAACACTCGAGCGAGATCTAGGGATGGGGTGCGACTCCCACGGCAATCTAACCGATGCAGAGTTTAGCAAACCGTTACCCTCCATAGGTATCTACGTAGCTACTGCTTCACTTATCTGTGGAGTCTCCATGTTCACCGATCTTCTACACGGCTTCCTCCACCGTAAATACTGGTTCCCCTGCAAGTTCTTCTCCCTCAACGCCACCACTCTCACTTTCATCTCCGTCTGCGTCAAACTCTCTTTGGATCTCAACACTCCCATGCCTAGTCGCCAAGATCAGCTCGCCAAACTCAGCAGCAGCGTCTTCTTCTGCGTCGTGATGGCTAACTCCATGCCTTCTCTAGGTTTCATGGTCACTCAAGACCTCCTCATGAACCTCGTGGCTCTTGGGATTCTTGTCATCACCGACGTTGTCAACATCTGTATCCAGTTAGGCACAGGTGCCATATACGTTTTCCCTCAAGAGCACGCTCTCGTCATCGTTCTCATGATTCTCATGTTTATGATCTTGACCTTCTCGGCGATCACGATTCCCACCACAAAGCGTTACTTGGAGCTCAAGTATAAGAAAAAGTACGAGTTTGCTTTGAAGCAGTGTCCTTCTTACACTGAGAGGAGAAAGGGAGTTCCTAAGCTTAGAGAGGATCTGATGAAGTTCTGGATGATGGCTCATACTTCTAGCCCTCAGTTCGTGATGGCTCGCTCTGTCACTTGCACCACCTCTGGTTTCCTCTGTTTCTTGAGTGCGGTGACTCTTGCTGAAGCTATGGTTAGGTCTTACTTTCTACATCCAAACTCACTTGGGTTCTGTAATGGTGAGTCTGATTACAAATGGTCAACCACTCTGGTTCTAGTCTCTCAGGGAGCTTCAATAGCCATAGGGACGGTCGCTCCAGCGAGCAGATGGTTTAGTGCAGTGAACTTGAGGTGTCCATCAAGAGGAGCAAAGAAAGGTTTGAGAGATGAGATGAGAGTAGAGAGTTATTGGTTTGAGTGTCTCTCCGAGAAGAAAGAACGTCCCTTGAACCTTTGGATGCTCCATGGTCGCCGCAGCAGGAAGCTTGCACACGACGTAAACCGATGGATACTTGATGTATGCATTGCAACGCAACATGGGTTAGTGTTGGCTAGCAAGTTTCTTCGTTTTGTCACTGTTTACTTTGTGCGTAGAATCTTGCTATGTTGTTTATTTCTCACCTTCAAATGTGAGACTGTCTCAAACGCTGAGTCTTCGTCTTCGTCTTCCTCTCCATCAACGAGAGAATTTGTTCTGCATCTTGAAGGAGAGGAGGAGCTGGTTGATTACATGGCACGGAGCAACCGCGAGGCCACGGAACACTTGATACAAAAGGGTCGGAAACAGCAACCTGTAAACTTGATAGAGCTCTTGGAGGCAACAACTTCAATCCCAAAAGGGTTTGAAGGGATTTGGGATTTTGACAGCGATGAGGTCGCTTCATTAGCCTCTGGAGAGCCACCTAATTGCTGGGCGCTTCCATTAGTAACACTGACGAGTATAGCTGTTGCTCTTCCCAATATAAAGCCTTGCTCTTTAAAGAAGTTAGTGAAGGCTGTAAACGAGGCATTGGTCTATGTGAAGAAGTTTGAAGACGTCTTAGACATTGATAGAGAGTTAGCTAATAGCAGGAAAGCTGCTGAAGTGGTTTGGTTAGGAGTTGATCTCTACCATAAGTGGCTCAACGTGGATCTTCGAAAACTATCCAAACAACAAAAAACAACAACGCAAGTTCTTAAAGAGATAGTGGATATAGCTAAGAAAGAGTTTATAGAGTCATGGCAGAAGAACTTGATATATTGCATGAAGCATAAGCCTTCACATTGGCCCATCAAGACTATAGCTGCTAACTCAATGTACCGAATCAGCCAAACGCTTTTGAACAAGTACGAGTCGAGAGATGTTGGAACAGAGGAGACTCTGTTGAAAGATGTGGAGGGAATGGTATCGGATATAGTAGCAGGATGCTTTTGCAACGCGGCACAGGTGATAGGAATGAAGTGTTTGGTGACGGCGGTGGAAGTGAGAGAAGCGTCGGTGAGGGAAGCTGCAATGCATCTAGGGAGAACGGAGAAGATACTTGAGATTGTGGACAGGAGATGCATGCCTGCTTTGTCACATCACGAAGTGGCTAAGATTGATGAGTGGAGAGAGTTTTATAGGAGTAATAGATGCATCTCTTTGACTCGTCCTTCCTCTCAATGTACCACTCGTGAACTCATTCTCAACCTTGAGTAACACTTAAATGTCAAAGTCTATAAGGAGTTGAGTTACCCTTCTGTACATATGGAAATGAACGCAATAATTAAAATATTTACAAAAATTAATAGTAAATAATTAAAATATTCTTCATAATCATTTTATAATTGAGATACTCAACTAATGATATGTTAACTAATCATTCTACATAGAGTTCTATTTATATTTTTGATTGGAATTATTTTATTTATAATTTTATTTATTACTGTTTCAGTATTAAAAATATTTTTATTATTTAAAATATATCCAATATTTTAGAAAAATGTTGACTTATATTTATGCAAAAAAACATCAATTTTAAAATTCATTTTAAGCTTACTATATTAGTCAACTATAACGGTTAACTAATGATATGACTAAATTGGTATAGTTGACGAAAATTTGTAATTAAAATGATTTGTCAACAAAAGTTATATATTTTTTGGCTTATGAGAAAACTAGTGTTTTATTTTAACCAAATTTGCAATTTGATGATTTAAATAATATTTTTCTTTTTTTTCGGTTGATGCACAAGTTATAGTATCAACTTTTCTTTCTTAACAAGTAAAAACGACTCTTCCAAAGCTTGTATTATTCTTCTGTATATCGGTGGGAAAAACACCCGAACCAAAACAAACCAAACCAAATCAAATCAAACCAACCGAATTCAAACCAATCCAAACCGAATCCAAGTATATCTAAACTATGTGGTTCAAGATTCTATTAACTTGAATGGTTCGGTTGGTTTGGTTTTAAACCGAACCAAACCAAAAAAACGAATTGTTTTTTGATTAAATTAATTAAATATAGTAATAATATTAGAGTTAATATATTTAACTATTTGATCTAAATAACTAATATTTTTTTACATTTGACTTCTAAATGAATAAACTAACACAACTAAAAAATATGAATCTATACATTAACATCAAAACCGAATACTTTTATGATTTTATATTAAGTTTGAAAATAATAATATAAAATTGTTGGATTACATATTTTACATATTTATTGTTATATTAAGTTTTACGTTTAAATATAGAGAAAACAATGATTTAATGTCAAATGATGATTAGTTAATTTTTTTATAAATTATACTTTTGTAAATGAATTAAAATAAAACTAAAAGAACCAACTCGATTGATTGAAAATACAAACAAACCATATTAAACCAAATCAAACAAGAACCAAACCAAGTTAAAATCGAATCAAACACAAACCAAACCAAATTAATACTGAATCACTAAACATAAACTAAACTAAACTAATATGGACTGACTTTGGTTAAAGTTTTCTTAGACCTAAATAATTTTGAACTTAAACCAAATCCGTAATAAAACCGAAATGTCCATCCATACTTCTGGATATTTTTGGCAATAGCAACTCTCTTATACCAATGCCGTCAACAAAAGCTGCTTTTGATTTTATTTTAAAAGGTTTCCTTAGCAGGGTTCTAATTCTTAATGGTAAGCTAGTAGGTCTCTGGTTTTGAACTGAATCAATGTGCTATACCAAACCAATTTTTTTTTTCGGTTCATGTTCAGTTACTAGTTCTGAACCGATCTGCATATCTTGATACTAATTCCATATTATCAATACAAATTCGGTTATTGACTCGGTCCGACAATTGGTTACCTCAATTTTGTATATATTTTAATTAAACTAAACTGATTTATACCAACAAACCGAACTAATCAACTAACCAGAAAAAATTAATATAACCGAAACTACCCCAATTGACCAGAGTTTTTTAAAAAAAGCTAAAATTTGGGTTAGGTCGAACAAACCGAAAATTGAACTACATAACCCGACTAAACCAAATTAACCGAATCCGCATTGCTTATGTGAAACGGCGAAACCATTTCGAGATAAGTTTGGTAAAACCAAAGACTCAAACGGTGGGCTGCTTTCCTGTTTCCGACCAAAAATGTCATTCTTTAAAAATCTGCATTTTATTTGAATTCTAAAATAAAGGGACAAAACATCACATGTAAAGTGAACAGACACAAGAGTCGGTCTCATATTCCTCCTCCTCTATAACTACACTTCTCACTCACACCCAAAGATTCGAACAAGAAACAAAACACCATCAAACCAATTAGTAATGGCGAACAACGAATCAGGTTCATCGTTAGGTCCGGGCGGTCTGGATCTAACCAGCACCTTTTTCAAACCGCTCCAAAACTCCGATCCTCCAATCCCCTCCAACCGCTGTACCAAGATCTCCGTCATCGGCGTCGGCAACGTCGGCATGGCCATCGCTCAAACCATCCTCACTCAAGACATCGCCGACGAGATCGCCCTCGTTGACTCCAAGCCCGACAAGCTCCGAGGCGAGATGCTCGATCTCCAACACGCCGCCGCCTTCCTCCCCCGCACCAAAATCACCGCTTCCGTTGACTACGATGTCACCGCCGGATCCGATCTCTGCATCGTCACCGCCGGCGCTAGGCAGAACCCTGGCGAGTCTAGGCTCAATCTCCTCCAGAGGAACGTCGAGCTCTTCCGCCACATCATCCCTCCCCTCGCTAAGTCGTCTCCCGATGCGATCTTGCTCATCGTCTCTAACCCTGTGGATGTCTTGACATACGTGGCGTGGAAGCTCTCTGGTTTCCCGGTGAATCGTGTTCTTGGATCGGGTACTAATCTTGATTCCTCTCGGTTCAGGTTCTTGATCGCAGATCATCTCGATGTCAATGCTCAGGATGTGCAGGTCAGTTCCGACCACAGTTAAGGTTTTGTAATAGATCCGATGATACTAGTGTGTGTTGTTGAGACAATCGATCAAATGGTGTGTTGTTGTCTGTAGGCATTCATTGTGGGAGAGCATGGAGACAGCTCGGTGGCATTGTGGTCGAGCATAAGTGTGGGAGGCATCCCTGTCTTAAGCTTCTTGGAGAAGCAACAGATCGCTTATGAGAAACAAACCCTTGAGGATATTCACCAAACTGTTGTTGGAAGTGCCTATGAAGTTATTGGACTCAAGGGTTATACTTCTTGGGCCATTGGCTACTCTGTTGCCAACCTGGCCTATACCATCCTCCGTGACCAGCGTAAGATCCACCCGGTTACGGTACTTGCTCGTGGGTTTTATGGTGTAGAAGGTGGTGATGTGTTCCTCAGTCTCCCGGCTCTACTTGGACGTAATGGTGTGGTGGCTGTGACTAATGTGCATATGACTGATGAAGAGTCGGAGAAGTTGCAGAAATCGGCAAAGACTATATTGGAGATGCAAAGCCAGTTAGGACTTTGAACATTTTCTATATATCTATTTGCTTCCGTTTTTAAAAACTTTTTTTTTTGTTTTGTGATGCATTATGACCATCAATCATCCCAATGGTGTTAGTGTTGATCTTGATCTCTATCACTATATGTTATATAAATGCTTGTTCGGGCAATACTGATTCCAAAGTTAATGTTTGTGATGCCTCGGGAGGTTGTAAGGAAGTTTTTGTGTGCAGCTTGGAGGAGGGTTTGTGCTGGTAGTTCTTTGCTACTATCTTGGGGTTTATATGCTGATTACTTTTACTACAGTCTGAGTTTTTCTGCTGGGAGTTCTCTGTTCCGGGTTCATGGGATTTGTTCTGCGCGTTTCGAGACTTCTCTCTCAGCTGGAGAGTTAATCTGTGATGTTCTGCTGGTTGCAGGTTTCTTGGAGTCACTTCTTTAGTTACTTGTTTCTTTTCTTTCCCTCCTTTGACTATGGCCATGGTCTTCCCCAAAAATTTGACTTGTTGCACATGGTTAATTTTTTTTGGGGGGGGGGGGGAGGAGATTACCTTTTGTTTCTTTGGTCTTATAATGTTTGTTTGGGGTTTTTGTAACCTCAAATTTTCAAAACAGTTTGCACCTGTTGTAATATGGTTTTTGATTGAATAAAATTTTACATTCATTTGGAAAAAAAAAAAAGAAAATTCCAAAGTTGAGTTCTTTAGGATATTTCAACAGAAAAAAAAAAATCAGGAACAAAACTAATATTTGGCTTGCTTGAATTATGTACTTTTTGTTACATCAAATATTTGTCTATAAAATATGACCATCAATCATCTCAATGGTGTTAGTGTCGATCTTGATCTCTATTGCTATATGTATTCATGCATAATGATTCCAAAAGTTGAGTTCTTTAGGTTTTAACAAAGAAAAAAAACAGAAGAATGATGCGAGGTACTCGCCTCGGTTGTTCATTCAAGTTTTTGATTTTATACTTGTACTTGACTTGCATGAATTAAGTATTCAGATACATCAAGTACCCAGAAATAAAATTAATACTTGACTCGCTTCAGTTATGTACTCGTTACTTCAAGTATCCAGAAACAAAATTAATACTGTACTTGGTTTGCTTGATTCAGTTTGTTACTTGCAAATATTTGAAACTCTAACTAAAATTTACTTTTTAGAAAGTATAACAATTTCTGGTGTTTGATTCGAACTTGTAAATGATAAATTTGTTAATTTATTGCTTGATTTGATAACACCAAGTATTTGATCTCAAAATATAGTGATGATGCTCATTACACCAAGTACTTTTTGCTTGATTTGATAATTAACACCAAGTACTTGATCTGAACACCAAGTATTGTAGAGTTAAGTTATTGCTTGAGATAACACCAAGTATTTGATCTCAAAATAGGTACAAAGTAATTAACAAGTATTAGTCAAATATTAAATTTTCATGACCAGTCTTAGATTCATTTTTGTTTTTGACATCAACTTAATACACTTAATACAGATTCATATAGATCATGTAAACTAAACTGGTCACTATGTATCTATGTGAACGAAGAAAGACGATTATTTCTTAACAGTACGTGCTAGCTTATTTGCTTTGGTATTTTACTTCGTTGGTACATAGATAATATCTGAGCTTATGCAATTTCCCTTAAATGTTTTGATATACTCTAAGTACATTGCAAAAGCAAGTCATTTCTTTGGTTTTAAAACTATCTTGACCAATTGAGAATAATCTGTTATAAAAATAACATGTAACTGTCACAAATTTCTCATACTCTATGGCCCAAATTAATAAGCCAATAGTTTCATAACTTTGTGACTTCCGGATCACATTGCTATCTCATCAACTGATATGAATGATAATGTGAGCCTTGAGTGTTTGTCGAAATGCAACTAAAACTATTTTTTAATGATTCATTCTATTTTTTTAATATAGTAATTCTATAATAAAATTGAATTATAATTTAATAATATTTATTTAAAATGAAACATAGAATAATGAACAAAAATAAAATAGATAACTAGATATATAAAGTAATGCATCCAAAAAAAGCTCCTAACAAAATGACATTTTTCTCTTATCAGAAGTTTTGGTATATAGTGAAAAAATTATTTTGATCCATATGATTAATGAATTTATTTTCAAAGGCATCATGGCTCCAGAATTGAATGAGACAAATATCTGTCTTTTACTGAATAAAGTTAAACCTACTGAGATGAATTAATTCCATCTGATCCTGTTTAATATGAGTTAAAAGATCATCTCTAAAATCTTATGCTATGAATTGAAAAAGTGATATCCAAACAAATATCTGAAACATAATCAATTTTTGTTGCTATAAACCCATTTTTTCATCTGAAAATTAATTATTATTTAGAATGTAGTCAAATTACATAAACGTATATACAACAATGAGAAAACAACAAATAAATAACTAAAATGATGATAGAGCTTTTTGCGAACTTGAAATCTTTGTCGCACTTTGAGTATCAGACCTCTGTGTTGTATTATATTGGTCTCATTCCAATTTAGATCTACAAATATTCTTAGGTTTTGAATCCAATGTATTGATTCAACCATAAGAAATAAAAATTAGAATGACCAATTTTGAACGATTATAAAGATATCGCCATACATCAAAGAGATTTCATATGATGCATTCCATGATTTCAAACAAATATTCTTATACCAAATACATTGTATCAAAATATAAATGTTGAAAAAAGATAGTTACCCGATATCATACTTGTTTCTCTTATCTCTAGATCTTCTTCTTCTTGTGGATCCAAGGTGGTTTCATTGGTGGCTGGAGTTTCCATAACAAATTCATGAAGATTTGTTTTAAGTCTTGGTTTATTGTTCCAAAAACTGAACTTTTCCAAATAATTTTTTTGGAAAAAGAAAGCTGCCGTATATTGAGGATAACAGAATTACACTAACAACATAAGTTTGATGAAACCATGCTTAGATGCTTGAAAAAAACATTCCCGTAGGGAGAGACATACACAACCAATTATCCAATGTAAAATCCCAAACAAGACCGGAAGTAGATCTCGGATGTGGAATTGTTTCGTATGATAGCTTTTGGATTCAGATCTGCATATGATTCTAAATGAGATGTATAATTCGTCAACAGATTGCAGAGATACTCCACTGGTTCTGATGAAAATTGCTTGCTGCTACAATCCAAAACCAAAAAAGAAGATCGGATGATTGTGTAGTGGATTTAATGATCAACAATCATCCCCATTAATAACTTGATAGAAATGGGAAAAGGTTAAAGGATAAGAGTTACCAGCAAATGCCGGTAATCTCGAGATCTGAAATGATGAGGTTTTTGTGTTTCTATAAACCCACTTTTATTCTATTGAAATGCGAAAATTAGTTTTTTATATATACACACACTATATATATATATATATATATATAATTTAGTATATATACATATATATATCCAACATTTCATATCGTTTGTTTAGAACCAATCTGAATAAAAAAACTGATATGAATCCAATATGAAATTTTGAGTGTCTAAAACAATAAATTTTAAGTGTTCTCATTTATGTTTTTAATTATGATTCAGTTATAATCAATTTTCTTTTGGGTTCCATTCCTTAATTTTGTATAAAAATTAAAAGTAAAGATAGATGACCAAAAAAATGAAACTGAATACTATCCAACTGAATTGAATTGAAATCTATAAATATCTATATGTTTAAAGTTACGAACGAAATCGAAAACCTGAACCAAAATCAAAACATGTATAATTAAACTGAAACGTTCAAATATCTAAAAGCTTTCTATATTTCTCTATCCAAAATAGCCAAAAAGAATCTAAAACCAAACGGTCTCAAATACTTGATATTTTATCCGAAATATCCTAATTACCCAAAAATTTGAAACAAAATCAAAACCAAACAAAAACTGTTTTTTTTTTCAGGTATTTTTCGGTTCTCAATTTTACTATCCAAAATCAACTCAAAACTTAAACTACTCAAACTGATTTGAACCAAAAAAAATTATGGTTTCCATATGAATCTTCTAATCACCCTACCTAACCTATCAGATACTTGAAATACCCGATCCGAACCAAACCGATACATAAAATGCCCCAGCCTATATCTGTGTAAGAATTGATCTGGATCTAATCCGATTACCCAAATGCTCAAAGCCTAGTAAGAATGGTAACGTTTTGTCAAAATTCAGAGTGATCAGTGATATGATTGTTGGCTTTTCAGGAGTAAATTAAGTAATTGTTACTTCCCAGCTTAGTTTATTTTTTTGGAATGTGGTGGAGGGCACCCATTATGATGATGATGCCCTGAAAATTGAATTAAAAAAAGGAAAAATCAAAGGGGATCTCTGGTGCTGGAGAAAGACCCAAGGACCAAAAGACAGAGATAAACATGATGCTCATCCGAGAGTGGAGATAGGCTTCTGTGTGTGTGTTCCATCAAACATTTCATTTACTAAAACTCTCTCTTTTAGGTCTTAGAGAGAAGAGATGAAAGGTCTTTTCAAATCGAAGCCGCGTACTCCCCCTGACATCGTCCGACAGACTCGCGATCTCCTCTTCTACGCCGATCGATCCGTCTCCATCCCTGACCTTCGCGAGTCCAAACGCCAAGAAAAGGTTCTCCCTTTCCCTCCCCATTCTCCTGATCAAACCCTTGTTTGGTTTTCTGACAAACAATTGGTTGCTTGCAGCTGTCGGAACTAAGCAAGAACTTACGAGATTTGAAGTTAATTCTCTATGGAAGCAGCGACGCTGAGCCTGTTGCTGATGCTTGTGCTCAGCTGACTCAAGAGTTCTTTAAGGGTGATACTCTTCGACGATTGATCACTTCACTTCAATATCTAAACTTGGAGGTATAACACATCTCATCGAAACCTCAAAGAGAGAGAGAGACATTTAAGATCAACTCTTCTTTTTGTTGTTATTAGGCGAGGAAAGATGCGACACAAGTCGTTGCTAATCTTCAGAGGCAACAAGTCAATTCACGCCTTATTGCCTCTGATTATCTCGAATCCAACATTGATCTTTTGGATTTTCTTGTCGACGGGTGAGTACTTTAGGAGATTGAATCCAATATTGAGCATTTCATTAATTACAAAGTTAAGGTTTTGTTTTGTCATTCATATTGGGGGGTTTTATATGATATCTCTCAGGTTTGAAAACACAGATATGGCGTTACACTATGGTACTATGTTTAGAGAGTGCATCCGCCATCAGATTGTTGCCAAGTGAGCCACTTTTATATTTTCTTTCCTTATGCTATTTACATGACAATGTGTTTCTATAGACAAAGTGACAATCTTCTATATAGTACTAGTGGTGTTTTGTGGAACATGTTATAATGGAAACCATTTCTTCTTCTTTGTGATTCAGATATGTTTTGGACTCGCAGCACATGAAGAAGTTTTTTTACTACATACAGCTACCCAATTTCGACATTGCTGCTGATGCTGCTGCCACTTTTAAGGTTCTTGTACTCTGCAACATTTTTGGAGATTTTTTCCTACAATTATGATTTTAGATTTTCTTTAAAACACGCCATCATATTATCTTTAGTTCTGTAAATTGTTTTCTTGCAGGAACTTCTGACAAGGCACAAGTCTACAGTGGCTGAGTTTCTCACCAAGAACGAAGACTGGGTAAGTTCGCTTACAATGTACCAAATCATACTGTTATTCTCTGAAAGCATATGCATATGCGGAATGGATATGATTCTCAGCTATTTTGGTATACAGTTTTTTGCAGACTACAATTCAAAGCTTCTTGAATCAAGTAATTATATTACCAGACGGCAAGCTATTAAGGTAGAGTAACTCAGAGGACTTGTGATATGAAATGAAAAAGAAAGCAGTTTCAGAGCATTCTGATTTATTATAGTGTGTACTTGTTTACAGTTGTTAGGAGATATATTACTGGATCGGTCAAACTCAGCTGTGATGACGAAATATGTGAGCTCAATGGATAACTTAAGAATTCTCATGAACCTTCTCAGAGTATGATGCTTTCCTGAATTATTCTGTCATCGATGTTTGGCTCTACCAAACTGATTTAGTAATGAGACTAACTTGAGCTTGTGGATGAAAACGCACTTGCAGGAATCAAGCAAGACTATTCAAATAGACGCTTTCCATGTTTTCAAGGTATCTGTCTTGTACTCTGTTAGACAAGGAGTAGTTTTAGCGAGTGAAACGTAATCAGCCAGACGGCTTTGGCAACTTGATACTGAGTTCTTTTGTAGTTGAGTTTTGAAAATAAAGATGGAAAATCCAAGTTCACGAATATTGTTGCGTGTTTATACAGCTGTTTGTAGCTAACCAAAGAAAGCCTTCAGACATCATGAACATTCTGGTGGCAAACAAAAACAAGCTTCTAAGATTGTTGGCTGATATCAAACCAGATAAAGGTATGGTGACTTTATGAGAGTGTTGTATCACTAGAGAATGGACCTGATTCATGTTTGTTTGGTGGCAGAGGATGAGAGCTTTGAAACAGATAAAGCTCAGGTGGTGAGAGAGATCGTAAGTCTTGGTAAGCCGTGAGATCTTTGCTTGAGCACTCCACATGTACACAGAAGCTCATGCCTCCTCCTGTTTAATCTTTGAAAGACATTTTTGGTGCATCAAAGATTGTTGTGTGTGTCTTGGCTATCGACTGGTCTGGGGTTTTTAGTGTCTATAAAACAAAATGTCATTATTATTATCACTGCTCAGAAGGAAAATAGAGGCAAAAGCCCCACATTGGTATGAATATTATGATCGACATTAACCTACTGAAAATGGATGGATAAGCAGGTAAACCATAAAAACCCAGTCTCTAGGCACCAAGACAAAAATAATCCAAGTCTAATGCTAATCTTGAGCATACTGAAACCGAGGCCATTGGATCCTCTATGCTGAGCTGATTTAGCAGATTCCTCCAGTTTACTTATATTCATGGTCCAGTGGCCTTGGATGCTCCACGCTGGGCTGCTTTAGCAGATATATTGGTCATTGCTCATGAAATGCAAGAATAATGCTCCTTGTCTGAAAAAGTTAAGGAAGAAATCTAGTCTAGAGATGGTAAATGGGTTTTAATAACGGTGAGGGTGAAACCGATTCACACACTTGGCTTGCCTGCTTTTGTTTCCACTTTACACCAACCCAACGTCTGTACCATCACTCCTCTCTATCATGTATATATTACAACAACTATTTGGGTAGGTATGTTACAGTAACTAAGTGATTGAATGTTTAGAGCTTAAATTGTTTGTATGAGTATAATAACGAAGGGAAATGACATTGGGATTGCAGGTGAGCAAACGCACAAGTTTTTAGAGTTAATTTGCGAAAGTACCCTAGTTCTCACCTTAAACTAGTGAACTAACCCTGATATGACACTTTCTTTTAGTCGGACCATTTTATCCTTCCGTGTTTCGATATACTACTCTCTTAGGCTCACGCGCCTACGGGTAGCTGTGTCAGAGCGCCTCCCACGCTTGCTTTGTTTCCCGTCAACCTTTTTGTTTTCCAGTAAAATCTTTTGCATGCTTTATATTTTGAAATTTGAAATTATTCATTAATTACGGTAACTGTAAAAATTTATCCCACCACTCTGAATAGTAACCTCCCTCTGCAATTCAACTTCCCATCTTCCCACTTCTTTCATTCTTCGTGTTTAAACTGAAAAACTTCCGACTTCNTAACTGTAAAAATTTATCCCACCACTCTGAATAGTAACCTCCCTCTGCAATTCAACTTCCCATCTTCCCACTTCTTTCATTCTTCGTGTTTAAACTGAAAAACTTCCGACTTCCTTCTTCCAAAACCTCCGATGTCCAATCTTAGCCTTCCTAGACGATATTTTGCTTGTGGTGATGAACCAGTAGGCGACAGAGTTGTCTCTTACCACAAGTATCGAAGAACAGAGCAACTAATTGAAGCATTAGACGAGGACGAGTTAGCATTTTTCCACCGAACTCAATTCTCGAAGGTCCTCTCTCTCGATGATAATCCTCCATTTTCCGGCGCGTTCTGTCACTTTGTCTGTGTTCGTATGTTGAAGACCCGCAAGCTCTACGAGATTTGGCTCGTTTTTGCTGGATACCCAATAAGGATCTCTCTTAGAGAGTTTGCAATAGTCACCGGCCTGAACTGTGATAGGGTTCCTCAATCAAGGCGAAAGAAAAGGAAGAATCCTCTACACGAGAAGCTTTATTGGAATGACTTGTTTGGGTCCTTAAAGTCTTGTAGCGTTGAAACGGTGGTTGATATGCTTAAGACAAGGAAGGTTAAGGATAAGGATACTCGCCTCAAAATCGCGTCTTTAGCGATCACTGCTTCTATTCTAGTCCCAACCTGCCACTCTCCGAAGATTCTCCCTGATCACGTTGAGATGATAAGAGATCTTGATGAGTTCCTCGCTCTCCCTTGGGGAAGGACATCCTTCCAAAGTCTAGCCAACCATTTACTTCAAAAGGATGCAGTCTCACTAGCGCAAGATTCCTTTGCCCTGAAGGGATATGTTGAAGCCATTCAACTTGTTCTCATCGCCGCTGTTCCAGACTTGAAAGAAGAAGTGGCTCACTCTGCCCCCGTGGTTGTTGCTCTGTCCGAAAGCGAGGGTGAGATGGATGCTGAAGAGGAAGCACCGCATGTAGCTGAGGAAGGGGAGGCAGAAGACTTGTCTAAATCCCAAAAATTTGTTGTCAGGTTGCGCAATGCCAGAGAACTGAACACAGAGTGCCAGGTTAGTGTCCCTGTAAAAAATTTGAACGGAAAATGTATTGATTTCCGAAAAAACATTTGTTACCGTTAATACGCAGAATACCAATGCTTAATTATCGTTTCATATTACTATACATATGCTCACCCATTTGTTAAGCATCTGCAAATAGACTTTGATTTGTAAACATATCGTCTAAATAAGTCATCTAATTAAAATCCTTACCTGGAAATATAGTAATTACCCGTAAATAATAATTTTACCTGGAACTCAGAAGTTTTCCTAACAAACTCATTATTGCCAGCAAACATTAACGATTATTTTATTACGTTTGCGTAGGTGGCTGTTAGATCAATACTGAGCGACCCTGACGAGGAGTGGTATCTACAACATGACTTCTCCTGGCCCGACGAGGAAGATGATCCAACCGTTGATAATATGGTGAAGCTCATTAACGAAGGGTTCGAATTTGAAAACAAGATGTTCAAGGGAGGTATAACATCTACAGACCTTCAGCAGCTAAGGGGTCATAAACAGAAGGGTAAACAGCCAAAACACAAACAAGTTCCAGCTGATTTTGGTGATCCATCAGAGGTTCCGCAACCGCGCCAAGTTGATGTTGATCCGATTGCCAACCTCGTCTCAGGGAAGATTCAGGAAGAACTGGCCTCAGTTGAGTCTCGCATAGCTACTGCCGTCGACCTACAATTACAGTCCAAAATGAAGGCTATGGAGACAAGACTAACCAAATGTGTTGTAGACAACATCCACGCGATGAAGAGGGGAGTTATAAAGGCGATTATAGATTACCTGAAGAAGACAACATCTTCAACGCCGAGCATTTCAGATGCCCCACAACAACATCCCACAAACAGAGCAAGCCCTTCGTTGAGTGGTCATGGTGAAGCGCCTGAAAAAGTAGTCCCCGAACAGATGGCGGTGGACGATCCTCAACCTCTTGTCAACCAGTCCATCATGCGTATTTTGGATGACCTTCAAACATCATCACACAATGAAGAGGTTTGCTAATTGTTATCTTCAATTACTTAATTATGTGATACCCCTACGAACATACCAGACATTTTATGATATCAGGTGAATGTAGAAGGGAATGTCACTCAGTAAGATCCCAACACAAAAGCCCCTACAGAGCACGAGAATACAGCTATCCTGAACACGGAGGTTTTCTGCTAAACCTTCTAATTACCGCTAATATATACTTTTCCCGTAATTTTGATATTTCGCTGTCTTCACAAAATTATATCTTCTTATTATTCTACAACCATGCCTGACGTAGGATGCTGGTAATAAATCATCCTCTAACCAAGAAGAGGAATCAACATCTGGAAATTCATTCCATGCTGTCTCAACAAGTCCATCCATGGTATAACTTAGCCCCAAGTTAGAAATAACATTTTACACCAACCTAAGCTTCTAATCTCAACATTAATACAGGTTGATCCTTCTGAAAATGTCAATAATCAGACACTCAGAGACCCCCCTACTACGGATCCCACTGACGAAGAAGCCATCTCTGATAAGGTTTCCCGGAAAATAATTAGTTGGCATCTACTATCTATTTTACCCGTTAAGATTAATGTTTACATATAACAATTTTGTTACCCGATATGTGTGACTACAATAATCCTTATCTTTCCAGGAATTGGAGGAATGGGCAATTACGCTGGCGACTGCTATGGGAAGAAGTACCTCAGAACAAATACAGGTAATGAATCAAGTACTAATACTGATATCCTTTTCTCAAATATAATTGTATATGATCTTACATTGATGGTTCAATATCGTAGGGGGAATCATCGCAGATGGATATTGAGCCTCCATCTTTTTCTATTGGCCTCACCCAATTAGAGGCATCAGATCGTGTTCTTCAGCCTGCTCCACTAACTATTGTGCTACCTCCCACTGGGCAATCATCTGGCACAGTGGACACACAAAGAGCCCAAAGACAAACAATCCCCCCAACAGCGTTACAAGACTATGAGCTAGACCCCAAGAGTAAGCCTGGATTCCGCGTCCTTCCAGACCTTCACAAATTGTTCGACAAGATGAGGCAGCTTATTTCACCCACGGGGTTAGTGTAGTTTAAATATTCACTGGAAATATTAATATTACCTGTCATCATTTTATTTAGCCGCAAATAAATTGTTTTCCCATGTTTAATTTTGCATCTAGGTTCATTCACTTGGATGGTCCATCAGCTATCACTGGTGCCGAGTTTCTTGACATTGCTTTTAGGAAAACTAGAATGTCTCAACTGGTAACACACAAATCTTAAACTTCCATCTACATATTAAATTATACTCATGTATACCAACATTATATTTCCGCAGACAGTGAACACTGTAATGCCCTTCCTGGCTGCTGAGCACGAAATTCCCGGCAAGTCTATCAAAGTCTTCGACATGAGCCTCCCTACTGCTATTAAAAACATCTACCCAAGGTTCGTCAAGATGGGTGTGCAGTTGCGACCGAAATTTAAGTTCACAGATGATGTGATTCAGCGTGTCAGAGAAAACCGGGTAGACTATATCTACTTCCCTCTATATGTTCAGCCGTTTCACTGGATGACGGTTGTTGTTGACATAAAAGCGTGGGATATACAAGTTCTTGATTGCAACGTGACCTTGAAGACAGAGGCTATGATCAAGAAGGAGGTCAATCCAATTGCCAACATGCTTCCCTATATCATCAAAGCATGGGATCCTGAATCTAGCGCTGATAACATCAAGCCATTCACCGTCAGTAGGCCTAAGGTACTTCCACAGGTATTTAATTTCAAACTCTTTTCCAAAAATTATTCATTTTACGGTAAACCTTTTTTTCCCCGTTAAGAAAACTAATTCCGGTAATCATTCTATATTCTGAGTGATTTACAGTCACCCTCGCTAACGGATGATGGGGTCCTCACTTGTCTTTACGTTGATGCACACTGCCAGAAGGGATTGGAAGCTTGCAAATTCCTAACCCAGAAGGTGCTCCCTGATACGGCAAAGCAGCTATGTCTGAAGTTTTACCGTT